GGCCAAGGCTAAGGCATGGCACGCCGGGCAACGCGGTGGCACGGCATGCTGGGCAACGCGGTGGCAAGGCTTGCGAGCCGAGGCCGTGGCATGGCATGCTGGCCGAGGCCGTGGCATGGCATGTTGAGCAACGCCGTGGCAAGGCATGCGGGCCGAGGCCGTGGCATGGCATTCGGGCCGAGGCCGTGGCATGGCTTATTGGGCGACGTCGTGGCAAGGCATGCGGGGCGAGGCCGTGGTATGTCATGCGGGCCGAGGCCGTGGCATGGCATGTGGGCCGAGGCCGTGGCATGGCATGCGGGCCGAGGTCGTGGCAAGGCATTCCGGCCTTGGCATGCTAGGCAACGCTGTGGCATGGCATGTTGGCCGAGGCCGTGGCATGGCACGCCGGGCAACGCGGTGGCATGGCATGCTGTGCAACGCCTTGGCAAGGCATGCAGGCTGAGGCCGTGTCATGGCATGCGGGCCGAAGCCGTCCGTGGCATGGCATGAGCGCCGAGGCCGTGGCATGGCATTCCGGCCTTGGCATGCTAGGCAACGCTATGGCAAGGGATGCGGGCCAAGGCCGTGGCATGGCATGTTGGCCAAGGCTAAGGCATGGCACGCCGGGCAACGCGGTGGCTTGGCATGCTGGGAAACGGGGTGGCAAGGCATGCGGGCCGAGGCCGTGGGATGGCATGCTGGTTGAGGCCGTGGCATGGCATGTTGGGCAACGTCGTGGAAAGGCATGCGGGCCGGGGCCGTGGCATGGCATGCGGGCCGGGGCCGTGGCATGTGATGCGGGACGAGGCCATGGCATGGCATGTTGGGCAACGGCGTGGCAAGGCATGCGGGCCGAGGCCGTGGCTTGGCATGCGGGCTGGGGCTGTGGCGTGGCATGCGGGACGAGGCCGTGGCATGGCATGTTGAGCAACGCCTTGGCAAGGCATGCAGGCCGATGGCGTGGCATGTCATGCGGGCCGAGGCTGTGGCATGGCATGCGGGCCGAGGCTGTGGCATGGTATTCCGGCCATGGCATACTGGGCAACGCTGTGGCATGGCATGCGGGCCGGGGCCATGGCATGGCATGTTGGCCAAGGCTAAGGCATGGCACGCCGGGCAATGCGGTGGCATGGCATGCTGGGCAACGCCGTGGCAAGGTATGCGGGACTAGGTCGTGGCAAGGCATGCGGGCCAAGGTCGTGGCATGGCATTCCGGCCTTGGCATGCTGGGCAGCGCTGTGGCATGGCATGCGGGACGAGGCCATGGCATGGCATGTTGGCCAAGGCTAAGGCATGGCACGCCGGGAAACGCGGTGGCATGGCATGCTGGGCAACGCGGTGGCAAGGCATGCGGGCCGAGGCCGAGGCATGGCATGCTGGCAGAGGCCATGGCATGGCATGTTGGGCAACCCCGTGGCATGGCATTCCGGCCTTGGCATGTTGGGCAACGCTGTGGCATGGCATGTGGGCTGAGGCCGTAGCATGGCACGTTGGCCGGCACGCCGGGCAATGCGGTGGCACGGCATGCTGGGCAACGCGGTGGGAAGGCATGCGGGCCGAGGCCGTGGCATGGCCTGCTGGCCGAGGCCGTGGCGTGTCATGTTGGGTAACGCCGTGGCAAGGCATGCGGGCCGAGGCCGTGGCGTGGCATTCGGGCCGAGGCCGTGGCATGGCATGCGGGTCGAGGCCGTGGCATGGCATGTTGGGCAACGTCGTAGCATGGCATCCGGGCCGAGGCCGTGGCAGGGCATGCGGGCCGAGGCCGTGGTATGGCATTCCGGCCTTGGCATGCTGGGCAACGCTATGGCATGGCATGCGGGCCGAGGCCGAGGCCGAGGCATGGCATGTGGGCCAATGCTAAGGCATGGCACGCCGGGCAACGCGGTGGCATGGCATGCTGGGCAACGCGGTGGCAAGGCATGCCGGCGGAGGCCGTGGCATGGCATGCTGGCCGAGGCCGTGGCATGTCATGTTGGGAAACGCCGTGGCAAGGCATGCGGGTCGAGGCCGTGGCATGGCATTCGGCCCGAGGCCGTGGCATGGCATGTTGGGCAACGTCGTGGCATGTCATGCGGGCCGAGGCCGTGGCATGGCATGCGGGCCGAGGCCGTGGCATCGCATGCGGGCCGAGGCCGTGGCCTGTAATGCGGGACGAGGCCGTGGCATGGCATGTTGGGCAACACCTAGGCAAGGCATGCGGGCCGAGGCCGTGGCATGGCATGCCAGCCTTGGCATGCTGGGCAACGCAGTGGCAAGGCATGCGGGCCGAGGCCGTGGCAAGGCATGCGGGCCGAGGCCGTGGCGTGGTATGCGGGCCGAGGTCGTGGCATGGCATGTTGGGCCGAGGCCGTGGCAAGGCATGCAGGCCGAGGCCGTGGCATGGCATGTTGGGCAACGCCATGGCAAGACATGCGGGCCGAGGCCGTGGCATGGCATGAGGGCCGAGGCCTTGGCATGGCATGTTGGGCAACGCCCTGGCAGGGCATACGGGCCGATGCTGTGGCATGTCATGCGGGCT